AGAGAGAGAGAGAGAGAGAGAGTAACAATTATAGCAAAGAGGCCATGAATTTGAGAGGGAGCATGGTGGGGCCATCAAAAAAAATTCTTCTGAAAATGGGAAAAAGCAGAACCTGGGTTTCCTAAGCCATTGCTCTGCCTGCCAGGGTCCTCTAATCTATGAGCTCTTCAGGTACAGCAACTTTGTAGTCCTCATGGCTTCACACTTACTATTGTCGTTCCTAAGGTTGCTGTGTTGCATGGATGCTATTGCATTTCTATGTGTCTATAGATGCTTCAAGTTCTTCTTATTTTTCTTCTTCCATTTCCATTTTGAATGGGAAGTAGTGGGACTGATTAAGTCAGTTGATGATCTTTAAGCCTGAACTATATTGTAGAGCCCTAAATTCTATAAGTGTAAGGAATGCTTTTGTGAGAGTTTAGCTCAGGTTTCAAAGGTGGCATCTCCTAGCACAGAAAAGCAGTATTTCTTGAGGTTAGGCTCTTAGCACCCAGAGCTGTACTTTTCTGACATTGGTGTGACTGTCCTCATTGCCCTGATGTCAGAGTGAGGGAGAGAGGAGTGTGAATCATGACAGTGAAGGCTGAATACAGTTCTTCAACTGTGAGACTTCATATCTCTAAGCCCTTCCTCTCATTATGGCCTATGTGGGACATTAGCAGCTTCTCTCTCAAGAGTGTCATAAAGTTTAAGTACAAGTGAGATACAAGTGAAGCCCTGGGTACTAGGACTGAAATCAGGTGGGTGCTCAACAAACATCTTATGACCACTTGATCACTTGGGAAAGCCAGTGATAAGGAATAATGTGGTAATGGATTCTCCAGTCTGTCAGTTCTCTGCCCAGAAAGCCAGTTGTGTTCTTGTGCCTGAGAGCACACTGTCCTTAATTCCAAGTGCCTCATGAGAGCAGTGCTGAACCCAACATTGGGACTCTAGGAAATAGGATCTCCTAGGCTGCTCTCTAGGGTTCATCGGGTCCTGGGTGCTATGCTGGCACTTTGCCCAGGGGATTGAGTCATGACTTTGTGTCACCTTAAGAAGCTCATCTCACCTGAGCAGAGAATTTAGATGTTCCACTAGTAGCCACTGCATCCCAGGAGATTCTTAATTACTGCGCCATGAGTTAGAAGGAGGTTCCCAGTTCTCAGACACACCCTCTGATGTTGGAAGATTGGGTGACTCTTGACCTGGAAACTCATGGTTTGGGGTGTGGCTGGATAAGCTTAGTGAAAGTTTGTTTAGGGCTCTACTAGTGAGAAACAACAGGGAAGAATCAACTACTTCTTCAATTCCCACTATGCTTCAGACACAAATTCTGAACTCTTACAATGGTCCTGTGAGATAGGTTAATGGCTAACATCATCAATATCATAGGATGTCGAATCATCCAGCTGACAAGTCCCTGGTAACACTTGTGAGCAATAGGTTAGGCTAACTGAGGTGCCACCTTTATTGTAGGTGGCAACATTCCAAGGGCTAGCGTCCTGGACTGAATAAAAGGAGAAACTGGGCTGAGCACCAGCATTCATCTCTCTGCTTTCTGACTAAACACAATGTGAGCAGCTGTTTCAGTCTCTTGCAGCTCTGGCTTTCCTGCTAAAATGTACTGAATTCTCAATCTGTGAACCAAATGAACCCTTTCTTTTTAAAATTGCTTTTTTCAGACGTTTTGTTCCAAAAACATGCCAAGCAACTAATACCTCCAAGGCACTAACCTTTAATAGGATCTCACTATGTAGCTCAAGGTATCTTGAGCTCAGGTTCCTCCTGTCTCTGTTTCCCCAGTTCTGGGATTACAAGAATATGTCTGTGCATAGTTAATAATATTAGTTTTAATCCATATCATTTTTCTTAGTTTTTTTTGCATAAAACTTCTAGGTGGAAATAGTGTACAGAAGGCAGAGAGATTCTGACGGACGTCCTAGGACTGAGGTCCATATTTCAAATAATAGCTGACAGTTACTAAGTGGCATCCTAAGGTGGGTGGGCATCTTTACTCTCAGGCACAGTTTCATAGCCAACAACTTGAGCACTGAAGTTCGAGATGCAGTGGAATTGCTGTAAATGGAATAACTGGGCAGCTGAGAACAGTGAGGGAAAAGGCAAGAGAGAAAAATGTTGGTGGAAGAATAAGAGGAGCCCGTGTGGAAACAGTTTAACCACTGCTACAATACCATCAGTGGAGTCTTCCCAAAGTCCATGTGCAGGGGGCTTGTGTGGAGCATGAAGATGTAAGATCTGGACTTGTTGTAGAGGTGGCAGTGGAACAAACTGTGATGACTGGATACAGATGGATAGAGAGACTTGCTCCATGTCACCCAGGAAGTGAAATATGGGCGACTACTGAGGGTAATTGAGTTTGACTTTATGGTCAACATTTGCAAAGCTTAATGCGGGGTTGGGTAACAATGGACTTTGAAAGGAGAAACAATGGTTAGGTGTGGGCAGGATATTCACAGAGCAGCAACAGGATAAAGGAGGAAGTCATTTCTCAGGCTCAGCATCTGTCTCTATGTGCTGTGAGTTTGACCAAATTAAATTCTCTTTCTCTAGTCCCTGTGCACTGGAGAGAGGTGTCTACTTTGATGCCTGAGAAGGGGAAGAAGCAAGGGTGTGGCCTGCATAAGTGAGACTGAAATAAGGGGGTCAGTAGAAGAAACTGGCTGAAATTGAGGCAGGAGCATACCCTTTTCACAGGCTTCATCTCAAAGGAAGAGACCTGCTTGGAATTTCAAGACCTTCGTGACCTCTGGGATTTCAGTGCCTACTCAGATTCTTAGCTGAATTCTGGGTGTCAATCGGATAGGCTCACTGCTGACCCACAGGGTTCCAGTTTCCCCATCTGTCAATGCAACTTCAGCACTCCAGATCCCGGAAGGGTCATTTCTAACCCGTGACTCTTAGAATTCTGCCATAGCTCCTCTACCCTTCCATTTAAGTCCTTCATCCAACGTTCCCATAGAGTTGGAGTCTCATCTGTGAAGAGAAATGATTGATGTGGAGTTGAAGTCCCATCCATAGCCCTCAGTTCAGCTTACGTTTGCATCTGAATCCAGATTCATCAGGATTTACAAGTTTCCTTTTTGACATTTCATCGTGTCTCCAAGATTCATGGCTTAATCTCTGTGATTCCAGGAAGTGAGGCAGGTTAGGGGACCCAAAGTTAGCAAAGCTTGTGGGGCTAACAACCGAGGAAGAATGTCCTGTAGGAAGGAGAAAAGTAGTTGTGTGTTTGTCAGAGCAGCAAAGGTACGAGCCAAAGGAGCAAAGGTTGGTCCTACCTACTTACCCTCCACCCTTCCCCATAGTCTCATGGAGGAGAATGACCCTCTCACAAGTGGTGCTGAGAAATGGTTCTGCAGTGGGATCATGAAGTTCACAAACCTACACTGAGTCTCTTTTCTTCTCTGGGCCTCAGCTTCCTCATGTGGGGCTCTGAGATTTTGTCCCACAGGGTTGTAAATTATAACAATAACAGTAGCAGCAATTACATGGGATTGTACTTACAATTATTGAACATTTATTGAATTTCAGACTGTTTAATATTCAGTGTGGATTATTACTTTACTGCCACAGCCCAAGGAGACAAAAGTCTGCTCTCCCATTTCCCAGGTGAAGACCTGGAGGCAGAGGGCTATAAAGTGACTTGCTCATTGATGTAGAGCCAGGACTGGAATCTGCCTCTGCCTAGATCCAAGGTCTGGCTTTGTAACATCAGTGTCACCAAGCACCCCTTTTGGGAGTTGGCTTGAACCGTGTGTTCACCCGTCTCAATGCCCCTTTGAATGTCGGCCTCTCCCCACTATAGCTCCTGAGTGCTCCTTCCCAGGGGCTGCAAGCACCACCTAGGGGCATGAGAAAGCAGGTGTACAAGGGGGTGTGGCTTTAGGTTTCATTTAAGGCTTTTATAAGCCTTCCAATACCAGCCTATCCTGGACCTGGGTCTTTTGACAGGAGGTTAGCCTGCCCACAGAAACTCTGGCAGGAGTGCTCAGTGGTGATGAAGGAGTCATAGCAGTGGTGGCCTGGGGTCCTTGGTGTACTTACTTAGCATTAAGTCCTCTGACAGAGAAAAGGGTCCCTGAGGATGGATTCTCATCTGATGGTCCTTATGCTGATGTCTCAGTGTGATACGTGCTGACTGTGGCACAAATACTCCTGTTTGGGGAGATCTCTCACGTTCCATGAGGCGGCCCAGCTCCAACTGGTCCTGCTTCACGTCTCCCTTCTGTTGTTGCTCCAATGAGGAGACCTGTGGATTCTTGTCTCTGCCGGACATTTCGGCTCTGGAAAAAGGTGTTTGATTGGAACTGAGAGAGGAGAGCAGGAAATAAAAGAAAGAGCGCAGAAACCTCTACAGGGACAGATGGTCCTCTGATCAGAGCAACTGAAGGACTCCGGTCCCTCTTGGGGATGGAGACTGTGGCCAGGTGCAGGGACTTGGGTCTTATTGGGCAGAAAAGAAACCCAGGGAGGAAAGTTTACCAGTGGGTATGTTCTCCACAGTTTCCTGAATGATGCCAGCAAACGTTCTTACTGTGTTATCTTTCCCGTCAGGCAGGGAGGCTTATCATTAGGCCGAGACAGGGGTTTCACAGCTTGTCTAAGGCTTCTTCTTTAAAGTTTAACCCTTCATTCCAGACCCTGGAGACAGAAAAAAAGAAGTGCAGGAAGGTTTATCTCTCATTGACTGTTTTCTGTGGGAGGGGAATGATGGAGGTGGGGCTAGGAACTGTCCCTACAGTTTAAGGGGGCAGAATTTAGGATGACTTCATGTAGCAGGAAAAGAGTTTTGACTTGATCTGCTGCAGTGGATCCTGTGACCGCTGTCATTCACTCCTGGAGAAACCTGTGAACACAGTTAACAGACAGAGCTATAGTGGGTAAGACGAGACCAAAGACAGGGGACCCAGTAAGCTCCAAGCCAGGGTAGCCATTGTCCTAATGTGGACCTAGTGATGACAATTATTTGATTTAGAAGGAACTTGCTTGAAACTTGCAAAATGCAGGGTAAAAATGAAAGAATGAGGATAAGAAGTAATGGAGAGATCAAGGGGAAGAGCCAGAGTGGGAGAGAACCAGAAGATGACTGTCACTGAATATTTGTTTGTTTTTAAGTTAAGTCTTGGGCCCTCTTGACCAGCTTGGGTTTGTTGGTGCAGAAGCAGCGCTGTCCCTGGAGGAGGGCACAGTTCTCACCACCACCAGCAGACAGACCTAGGTCTCTAACTTTGGAGAACCACAGCAGCAAAGACTTGGCCCAGGCTAGCCATGAAAAGTGATGGAGACTGGGGCATCTGGAGAATGGAGGATGGGGAAATGTGGGGATGGGAAAGCAAGAGGATGGAAGGATGCAGGACATGGAGCATGACAGCTGGAGGATTAGGGGATGGAAATCAAGGGAGAAGGGTTGGGGATGGAGGAAAGGAGTGTTGGGATTACAGGGACTGGAGCTGAGAGAATAGGAAGACAGGGATGGAGGGTGCAGGGATGGAGTGTGCAGGGATGGAGGATACAGGGATGGAGGATACAGGGATGGAGGGTGCAGGGATGGAGGGTGCAGGGATGGAGGGTGCA